ATGTAATGCCACACTGGTTTGTCTGGTCAAGTTCTGTAGAGGCTTATGTAATGCCTCACTGGTTTGTCTGGCCAAGTTCTGTACAGGCTTATGTAATGCCACACTGGTTTGTCTGGCCAAGTTTTGTACAGGCTTATGTAATGCCACACTGGTTTGTCTGGCCAAGTGTGGTAGAGGCTTATGTAATGCAACACTGGTTTGTCTGGCCAAGTTCTGTACAGGCTTATGTAATGCCAGACTGGTTTGTCTGGTCCAGTTCTGTACAGGCTTATGTAATGCCTCACTGGTTTGTCTGGCCAAGTTCTGTACAGGCTTATGTAATGCCACACTGGTTTGTCTGGCCAAGTTCCGTACAGGCTTATGTAATGCCACACTGGTTTGTCTGGTCAAGTTCTGTACAGGCTTATGTAATGGCTCACTGGTTTGTCTGGCCAAGTTTTGTACAGGCTTATGTAATGCCACACTGGTTTGTCTGGCCAAGTTTTGTACAGGCTTATGTAATGCCACACTGGTTTGTCTGGCGAAGTTTGGTACAGGCTTATGTAATGCCACACTGGTTTGTCTGGCCAAGTTTTGTACAGGCTTATGTAATGCCACACTGGTGTGTCTGGCCAAGTTTTGTACAGGCGTATGTAGTGCCACACTGGTTTGTCTGGCCAAGTTCTGTCCAGGCTTATGTAATGCCACACTGGTGTGTCTGGCCAAGTTTGGTACAGGCTTATGTAATGCCACACTGGTTTGTCTGGCCAAGTTTTGTACAGGCTTATGTAATGTCACACTGGTTTGTCTGGCCAAGTTTTGTTCAGGCGTATGTAGTGCCACACTGGTTTGTCTGGCCAAGTTCTGTCTAGTCTTATGTAATGCCACACTGGTGTGTCTGGCGAAGTTTGGTACAGGCTTATGAAATGCCACACTGGTTTGTTTGGCCAAGTTTTGTACAGGCTTATGTAATGCCACACTGGTGTGTCTGGCCAAGTTTTGTACAGGCGTATGTAGTGCCACACTGGTTTGTCTGGCCAAGTTCTGTCCAGGCTTATGTAATGCCACACTGGTGTGTCTGGCGAAGTTTGGTACAGGCTTATGTAATGCCACACTGGTTTGTCTGGCCAAGTTTTGTAAAGGCTTATGTTATGCCACACTGGTGTGTCTGGCCAAGTTTTGTACAGGCGTATGTAGTGCCACACTGGTTTGTCTGGCCTAGTTCTGTCCAGGCTTATGTAATGCCACACTGGTGTGTCTGGCCAAGTTTGGTACAGGCTTATGTAATGCCACACTGGTGTGTCTGGCCAAGTTTTGTACAGGCTTATGTAATGCCACACTGGTTTGTCTGGCCAAGTTTTGTACAGGCTTATGTAATGCCACACTGGTTTGTCTGGCCAAGTTTTGTACAGACTTCTGTAATGCCACACTGGTGTGTCTGGCCAAGTTTTGTGCAGGCTTATGTAATGCCACACTGGTTTGTCTGGCCAAGTTTTGTACAGGCTTATGTAATGCCACACTGGTTTGTCTGGCCAAGTTCTGTACAGGCGTATGTAATGCCACACTGGTTTGTCTGGCCAAGTTCTGTCCAGGGTTATGTAATGCCACACTGGTGTGTCTGGCGAAGTTTGGTACAGGCTTATGTAATGCCACACTGGTTTGTCTGGCCAAGTTTTGTACAGGCTTATGTAATGCCACACTGGTTTGTCTGGTCAAGTTTTGTACAGGCTTATGTAATGCCACACTGGTGTGTCTGGCCAAGTTTTGTACAGGCGTATGTAGTGCCACACTGGTTTGTCTGGCCAAGTTCTGTACAGGCTTATGTAATGCCACACTGGTGTGTCTGGCGAAGTTTTGTACAGGCTTATGTTATGCCACACTGGTTTGTCTGGCCAAGTTTTGTACAGGCTTATGTAATGCCACACTGGTGTGTCTGGCCAAGTTTTGTACAGGCGTATGTAGTGCCGCACTGGTTTGTCTGGCCAAGTTCTGTCCAGGCTTATGTAATGCCACACTGGTGTGTCTGGCCAAGTTTGGTACAGGCTTATGTAATGCCTCACTGGTTTGTCTGGCCAAGTTTTGTACAGGCTTATGTAATGCCACACTGGTTTGTCTGGCCAAGTTTTGTACAGGCTTATGTAATGCCACACTGGTTTGTCTGGCCAAGTTTTGTACAGACTTCTGTAATGCCACACTGGTTTGTCTGGGCAAGTTTTGTACAGGCTTATGTATTGCCACACTGGTTTGTCTGGTCAAGTTCTCTACAGGCTTACAGAACTTGTTTGACTGGTCAAGGGTCGCGGGTCACACAACCTGTTTGTCCATGGCCACCATGGTGCTGACCCTTTTGTTGATATTTCCCCAAAACCACTCCAATCTTATACAGAAGTCATATTGAAATTGATATTCGCTGAAATACAGATTTAGCACGCCTGCTGCGCTGTAGGTCACCTTGGCAGATGACAAATTCAGAAAGTGAAACTTCCGAATGAAAATAATTCATGCGGAACCAAAACTGAATACAGAATTCAAAAACATATTTAATATGCTTTGTACGATTCTAAGGGCGGTGGGTAATGAAAAACACGGCTTTTAATATTGCATTACTGTTACTCTTTTTTTTATCATTTACAAATTGAGTGAGGGAGTTTGGTTTAACGCCGCTTTTAACAGTTTTCCAGTTATATCACGGCGTGTCAGCTTGATCTGGGAGGAAAGCCCGAAATGATGCAGGTCGCACCACTTCGGTGAAACCCACGAGCACGGGTTTGGTGCTGACAAACCTGGAAACATAATCGGGGCGAACCGGGATTCGAACCCACAGTCATAGGTTTCTTGCGTGCCCAAGGGACGCAACTCTGCACAGCGAATCGCGGCGCCTCAGACGACTGGGCCACCCGTGCCCCCTACTGGTTGTGAGTGCAGCTTACGGGTGGAACATCGTACCGCACAAATTGATGTTCAGCGTGGAATAAAGTAGGGGCGGCCCCATTCTCCACCTGCCATATAACAATATATATATATATATATATATATATATATATATATATATATATATATATATATATATATATATATATGTGTGTGTGTGTGTGTGTGTGTGTGTGTGTGTGTGTGTGTGTGTGTGTGTGTGTGTGTGTGTGTGTGTGTGTGTGTGTGTGTGTGTGTGTAGTAAGTGAGTAAGGTTTTACGCCGCAATATTCCAGCAATATCACGGCTGGGGACACCAGTAATGAACTTCACCCGTTTCACCCATATGGGGAATCGAACACGGGTCTTCAGCATGACGAGGGGGCACGGGTTGAGACGTCTGAGACCTGCATCACTTCGGGCTTTCCTCCCAAATTAAGCTGATAGGCCGCGATATCACTGGAATACTGTTAAAAGCCAACTTACTCACTCACTCACTCACTCACTCACTCACTCAGCATGGCGAGTGGACGCTTTAACCACCCAACCGCTCCCCATTTCCCCACGCCCAAATATATTTGTAATTCCACCTATCCTCAGTTTTGCATTAAGTACAATACAATACCGCCTTATGCATGAAGGGGCGGTCGGGTAGCCTAGTGGTTAAAGCGTTCGCTCGTCACGCCGAAGACCTGGGTTCGATTCCCGACATGGGTTCAATGTGTGAAGCCCATTTCTGGTGTCCCTCGCCGTGATATTGCTGGAATATTGCTAAACGCGGCGTAAAACCATACTCACTCACTCACTCCTTATGCACGAATCTCACGTGCAGAGCACTATCGTATATGACGAACTCTCTAAAAGGCGATCGCATGACGATCTCTCATTAGGTTTTAAAATTCGCTTTAGAGATAGCAATCGTTCGCGCATTTCAAGAGCTGCTTTTCCCCAAATCGGGCATACATATTATTGTGCGATTCTTCAGGTCACATGGCTTTTTCTACACGGAAGTGTCGTGCGCAGAAAAGGAATTCCATTATGACGTGTTTAGGTCACGTGTCACTTTAGGTCTTCCAGCCTTTGAGGATCGTTTGATGGCCTCCTTTAATAAACAACCCTGCAGTTCCTCAATGTGACCCCTTGTGATGGATAAACTAAACTGATATTTCATGGCAGGAAGCAATTATAGTTGCTGAAATCTACTGGACACGATAGGGCAATAATCTGTTTGTAGTTGTAATTTTAATTGTTGACCAGGCACGTTTTATTTTCCCATGATGTGGACAATATGAATCAAACAGATTGTTTAAGGAAATAGTTGAAATTAACATTTTCAATAGCATGGCCAAAATCATCATTATTCCAGCTTTATCATACCGGCGTGTAAATGATTGAATCTGAGCCAGGGAAACCAGTGGTTGATAGCATGAACAACCCACGCCGTCGTGATACTTTTACACACAATCAAACAGATCACACAATCTGATGCACCTGTCCTCATTAAATGTGATGCACCTATCCTCATTAAGTCGACAACCGTGAAGATCCGGGTAGAGAATAGGTCTTCAGCAACCCATGCTAGCCGTAAAAGGTTACTGTGCTTGCCGTAAGAGGCGACTAACGGGATCGGGTGGTCAGGTTTGCTGACTGGTTGATGCATGTTATCGTATCCCAATGCGTAGATCGATGCTCATGATATAAATCACTGGATTGTCTGGTCCAGACTCTAATTTACAGACCGCCGTCATGTAGCTGGAATATTGCTGAGTGCGGCGTTTAACAACAAACAAAAAATAGAATTAAAAAATCATTAAGTCGAGGACACAAGTGGCCCAGTCCTCTAAGGACGTCTTGGTTTCATCAAAGTCGTAAACGTCTAATGCCTGCATCAATTCGGGTTTTCCTCCCACATCAAACAGCAACATTTGTTTGTCGTGACAGACGTGGGGCTGAATTTCGTGTCATCCTGCCCCGACGCCGTGGGGCCTGCTGTTGCATAATCGTACAGGGAAGCGAAAACTAGTTATCTTGTTCAATTATGCATACATACCCGGACGTTTAAAGTAATTTCATTTACAAATGGTATTTTTGCAAATTGAAGCCATTCAAATGTTTCCTCGGGGAACTCCGTTTTCCTCAATCCAACTATGACCATGATGATTATGATGATTGCAGGTTTTATTTCCTATCATTCAGCTAGTGGGCGTTCATCATAGCAGTCGAATGTCTAGCTGCGAGGTAGGTATCCGACAACTCTGGTTTCTCTTCTCAGGTGTAGCAGGCTCAAATCATTCCCTGAAAATATCACTCTCGGGCGAGTCTAGCCTTGGTTCAAATTCCGCGGATCCCTGTTTCACCTTCGGCATGTATAGGCTAATAACTATATGTTGTCGTCAACTAAAGAAGATCTTAAAAAAAAATCTAAACCGAACAGCCAAACATGTTTCAGTCGAAATTATAATAAGGAACAATTATGTCTGTGAACAGATGTTGGGAATTGTACATTCTACATGCGACGTCTTGGATCCTGTTCGGTTCATGAGCATAGGTGAGGTGAAATGGGGTTTAACGTCGCGTCCAAGGTTATTGCACTTATACAGCGACGTGCATGTACGTGTGTGCGTTTGTGTGGCTGCTTGTACTAGTCCGGACTGATGCCTATTTATAGTGCTAGCTCACTGAGATACCATGCCGCAGTTTAACATGAATACCCCACTCAGACACAGTATACTGACTCCGAGCCGACCAGTCCTTGTTTTAGCCCCTTAATGCCGAGCGCCAGACAGGGTAAAAACAAGTACCATCTTTTAAGGTCTTTTGGTATGACGCGGCCGGGGATCGAACCCCGGACCTTCCGCTCTCCGGGCGGACGCTCTGCCACAAGACGACACAGCGCAAGCACGCATGCACTGCACGGTCTGTGGTAGGGGAAATGACAGAGCGTTAGAGGGGCCGTCTCATGATAATTTCAGTCGCAATCTGACTCGCTCATGCCATAGATCTCGTCGTCGGAACTGCTGGTGCCTGAACCGACTGCCACTATTATAGGTTGGACTGTTGCTGGCCGTAGTCCATCTCGTGACCAATAACGTGGCTCTATCTCGTCAACGACTGTGCAACGCCTCCACGTTTCTACTGTTACTCGACGAAGGGATTCCTTTACGAGTTGTTCAACGTCTCGTTATTTGAACGTTGTGTTCGATCGTCCAACGTCACCCTTGACGATGCCCCATACCAACTCGATTGGATTCAGGTCGCAGTGACTTGATCCCTCTGAAAACTGTCTAATTTATTAACCTTGCGTGTTTTTGACATGTTCCCTACCTCCTTGGCCTATTTGTATCTCGTCGACTAACAACATTTTAAAGTTTCTGAGGGGACATACCAAGAGCTTTTGAAGCTCGTTTCAAGAATTTATTAATTGCATAAAAAGGCTTTGCTCTTTCTGCTTCACTTCTAAAGAAATCATACACATTCAACATCAACTGTTTAACATCTGCTGAGTAGCGCATCTTGTCATTGAATGAACACGGTCACTGTGTAGCACGTGCAGACCGTGCTTGCGCTGTTTCTTCCACGGTTTGTCCCCCTACGTGTCATGTACACATTTCTATACAAAATTACATGATAGTTTCTTAAAGAACTTCATCCGTCATGGGTCTTAAATTAAACAGAATTTAGATGTTGATGGGTACAGGGTATTCAAGACGTGCAACCGGACCCTTGGACCCAATGGAGCAGCGCAAAACTATTATCCACCAATAGTCAAAAAAAAAAAAGGGGGGGGGGGGCTCCGACACCAATCTGAGGTGTGAGTATATCCTTGAGTATCTATTAGGAGCACTTTGATTATGAACTGCCTCTAGTGACCGATAGTGACGTCAGAACGGGAAGAGATAGAACTGGAAATGACGTCATCACCGGAATAGACATCATCACAGGAAATGAGCTCAGAACCGAAAGTGACGTCAGCACCGGAAATAGTAGTACAAGGTCCATGTAATCTGGAAATGACGTCTTTTGGTAGAAAAGGACCATAAGAGACGTCATTTTCCAATAAAAGTGAGTGACAAACCGGGACGGACGTCACAACCGGAAGTTCGATAATTCCCATGCTGTTTGTGTTCAACTGTCAACGAACGCACTTATTGCACGAAGTGTTTTATTTGATTTTGGTTTGAATGTGAGCGAGTTGTGTTAAACGCTTCTTTTAACAGTATTCCAGTTATATCATGGCGTGTAAGCTTAATGTAGGAGGAACGCCCGAAGTTTTCAGGTCTCAGACGTTTGCCACTTCGGTGAAACCAACGAGCACGGGTATGGTGCTGACAAACCTAGAGACATAATCGGGGCGAACCGGGATTTTAACCCACAATCATAGGTTTCTGATGTACCCAAGGGACGCAACTCTGCACCCAATTGTGGCGCCTTAGACGACATCTGCATTTGGATGTTTGGTTATTGGAAAGAGTCACATAATCGGGGCGAACCGGGATTTTAACCCACAATCATAGGTTTCTGATGTACCCAAGGGACGCAACTCTGCACCCAATTGTGGCGCCTTAGACGACATCTGCATTTGGATGTTTGGTTATTTGAAAGAGTCACATAATTGGGGCGAACCGGGATTCGAACCCACAATCATAGGTTTCAGGCGTGCCCAATCAGGGCAGCGAATCGCGGCGCCTTAGACGACTGGGCAACCCGTGCCCCCTTTGGTTTGAGAAAGTTAATGGGATGATTAATAGTTGGGAAGATGTAAACGAACCTTTAGATGAAACTATATTTTGTCTCCCACATGTATTAAGATATGCGTATATGCAAAATACATAAATAATTTTGAAAGCATTTTTTAAAACATTATTACACTAAACATGTTCGTATTATTCGGGCACCATTGGAGGGAGTCATGTTCTGTCCTAGAGCGCATGAAGGCGATGAGCAGGTTACCAGTCCTGCTTCACCCGACCTATTTCCCCACAGCATTTCCGTGTAGTCGGTCTGTCTGTCGAGAGGGGCGAGGACAGCATATCACCATGCGGGCGAACCTTGACCCATTTCCGTATAGCGAGTTATACCTGTCGAGAGGGGCAGGTCTACAGCATATAGCTATTTTCTATATTGGAAACGTTTGCCGAGTTTCCGCGTATTAGCACCTTTGAGTGAGTGAGTTAATATTTAACGTCACATCGGCAGTATTTCAGCCATACCGTGACGAGTAGCACTTTTGTGGTAAGGGTTTGATTGTAAGGTCTAGGTCACTGGGATGGTCACTCAAATGGCAGTTCTGCAGCTTTCTGTATGGATCCAATCCCTTGTGTTGAAATGGCGTTAGTACTCACGTTTTCTAAGAGCAATAATACAGAATGCGATTGGCTGAAATATATTTGGGTCACAGGAATTAGAGGCAAGGGACTTTCTGTTTAAAGTTGTCTTACATTGGACCGGAAGTGATGTCATTAAACCGGAAGTTAAAACTTCTTATTAGACGAGTTCACGCACGGATCTATATTTTAAAATCCTACTCCATGATATGTCAGCTTGTAATGCAATGGGCTTGTGTCGTTGGATATGCTGTTCGGTCCCTCACTGTTTTCTCATATGAGGTATGTGGGGGAATCGATCATCTGATATTCTTGTGTGTGTGTGTGTGTGTGTGTGTGTGTGTGTGTGTGTGTGTGTGTGTGTGTGTGTATTCTAGCTTTGACTGGAAAACCAGATATTTACTAAGAGCCTAAGTTGATAAGTCAAACACATATGGCAGCAATGTATTTTTGTGTCTGACAGTTATTTTTTGGTTTGCAACATTATAATGTTCTAATTTTGCAAGCGTTTTAAGCACATACATGTTCTGGTTTCAGATGGGTTCCCTTGTATGTATAGCTACATGCATGTGCGTATACTTGGCATGTTTGCTCTTCGCCGATGGATTGAAGAACTCTCACATTGTGTGTCCCCCATGCACGTGTGAGAGAGATATGCGCTATGAAGGACTAATGGTCAACTGCATGGGACTGCGCTTAAAGAGCCTTCCTGTTCAGCTTCCCGTCAATACCACGACATTACTTCTCAGCAACAACGAGGTGACGAATCTGACAGAACAGATGTTTCAACGTTTCCCTCATCTTCGAGCTCTTGACCTCTCTCATAATTCGATCGTCACGATCCATGAAAATGGCTTTAAGGGAATATCGAAGCTGAAGAAGCTAAACCTACAGTTCAATCAGTTGGTGCTGGACTCGCAAACGTATCACCCCAACGTGTTCAAGGATCTCACGGAATTAGAAGAATTAAGGATCGTAGATAACGTTAACAACATAGATCACCCCAACGCCACATACCCAGACCAGAGTTTTCAACACTTGACATCCTTGAAGGTGCTGTATCTTGATGGACTTCCGACTGACTTTGGTCCTGGATTTGGTCAGTTGAGGAATCTGAGGAATCTGACTTTATCAGGGTATATGAAGTACTGTTATCTACCCGTGCTGCAGAACACCACATTCACAAATGTACCAACAGTTCAACATCTTAACATCAGCAACTGTGACATAATCCGGACGGACCTTCTCACCTTTCAACCGATGAAACATATTCAGTTGATAGACATCTCGGATAACAGACATCTTGGGTTTAATAATGCCACCAATGCTACATATGGTCTTCAACATTCGTCTCTACAAATACTTCGAGCTAATCGTATATATCCTACCTGGGACGTATGTTCACATTTACGCGTTTCGCATATTAAGTACTTGAAACAGACCCATTTGAGAGAGTTGCATATAGATGGTAATGGCATAATAGGAATAGGCTTGAACGTTGTCAATTATATGCCTCAAAGTCTTGAAAGACTTTTTGCTCGTTGGAACAAATTTCAGTCGGGGTTCATTTCATTTATGAACCCTCGCATGCCTATAAAGTTTCTTGATATTACGGGAATAAACGTAGTTCAAAAGCCTTTCATACCTCTACAAAGACACTTCAATTCAATTCCAACCCCGTGTCCACCAAAACTTAAAACCATCATTGCATCCTGGTGTTCTCTGAAAGGCTCTATTGGACACTTACAGCTTATTAAGAGTAACATAAGGAAGGTCATTATGAAACATAATTATTTTACCGGCCTCGAAGGACCACTTGTAGGTTCTCAGAAATTAGAAATCTTTGACCTTTCCCACAATGTACTTCAGACAATTGGAAATAAGGTTTTTGAAAAAGATAATTCAGTTGAAATACTTAACCTAAGTTACAACCATCTTGGGGTAGCTTTAAGAAATGACAAGAGAGGAGATATCTTTGAAAGATTAGGAAAAATTCGACATCTGGACCTTTCAGGAAATTCCATTTCATGTTTGCCTACCAGAATATTTAGAGGTCTGAGAAATGTCAAGACCATAAACTTGACTGACAATTATTTGACTTCGTTTCACGCCTACCTTAGTAAGAGCATGACAAAGCTTGACCTCGGTGGGAATAAAATACAAATGGTGCCTCCCCACGTTCTGGAGCAATTTGACAAATTACCTACGTTGTTGGTAAATCTAGGCTATAACCCGATATCCTGTACATGTGAAGGATTATACTTCTTAAGATGGTTGAGTGAAAATAAACATCGCGTCCTTGGCGTTGAAGCAATGTCTTGTAGTATGGAGCGCTATATTACAAATGACTCTCAAATTACAAACTTAGACGTGATTATTGGAATTTTAGCCAAACAGTGTAGTGCTGTCAACATCGTAACCATTTCGGTGTCCTTATCTTTACTCATATTACTTCTTGGGGTTATCTTCGTTGCGATTTGTTATCGTCACAGATGGAAGCTCCGTTACCTCTACCATGTTGGGAGACGGGGCTATCAAGTTCAACACGCTGTAGACAATGTTCCTGATGATTTGTTTGAATACGATGTATTCGTGTCCTATGCAGCGCCGGATAGAAGATTCGTCATTGACTCTATGATGCAAGAGCTTGAGACAAAGGCCGAACTGCGCATGTGCATCCATGATAGAGACTTCCTGCCAGGGGAGGTAATCGCTACGAACATCGTTGACACCATTCAAAGAAGCCGGAAGACCTTGATTGTTTTGTCCCCTTCGTTCCTGAAGAGTCACTGGTGCGAGTTCGAGTACAATATGGCCATTATGGAAGGAGTGCATCGAAGACAGAACATAGTGATAGTAGTTCTGTATGAGTATGTACCGATCAAGGACTTACCAAAGGACCTGGCGGTAATGTTTCGAAATAACTCCTATTTGGAATACAGCGAGGAGGTGTTCGGAAACGTGGTTTTCTGGCGAAATGTAGTGGAGGCAATAAACACCACGAGAATCGCAGACTGAGGGACTGTCAGGTTCAGCCATGGTTACGTATCTATTGCAGAGACAGACTGTTTCAAAATGTATTCAGTCAATACATCCAATCTCATTAAAATCAGACCTTCGTTCTCGCTACCGCTAAACAAAGATCTGAGGACATTCCATTACTGGTCACGTCAGACCGACCTTGCGCGAACTTTGACCGACCAATGGAATGACCAATCAGAAACCAGCTTTCTCGTGCTTTACGGCACAAATTTCAAATTGGCGACTACGCTTCGAAACGTATTTTGACAAAATCTCGATTACAAATTTGAAACCTGAACAAAACAACATTCTGGAATGACTAATAGATGGTCTAGACTGTAAGAACTCAGTCGTTAAACCTGTAACTATCGTTCTGAATACCCCATGTTAAAGTTTTTGAGATTGCATGATTAGAAATCACATTCCGGCAGTCACTTTCATAATCTGGTAAGCGACGCACTGATTGGTCGGATGAAAGGTCGTTCTGACGTGATCCCTAATGGGATGTCTTCAGATCTTTGTTTAGCGGTCGCGAAAACTAGGATATGATTTTAATGAGATTGTAATCACATCCTGCATCAAGGAGATATAGTCTCATGTGTAATAAGTCGTATTCAGTCTTCTCTCCGTAAACCTGATTACTGTTTGTATATAATTTAAATATTTCTCTGTGGAGGAATGTTCTGACACGTTTAGCAATTTTCCATGTATGTGACGGCGGCCTGTGGACAACAGATCAGACAATCCAGTGGTTGATATCAACAACCACACTGTTGGTGTACGATAACACGCTATGAACCATGTCTACGACTGTGACCCCCGGATCCACCCAATCGCCTCATACGACCAGCATAGGTTGCCTAGGACCAACACCAACCCGGAATTGCCACGAAAGATTGCGAATGTGTATGTGTATACATTTACACGTGGATCTTTGTCATTTTACTTACAAGACATCTACTTAGCCTTTTCACGGTGAGGTGTATTCCCACTTTATACAATATTCACGTAATATTTCGACGGGAGAAACTGGCTTCAGCCATGAAAGGAATCCAACCCGGACCAAATCTCATATAAATCAGCCCTTAGTTCTCGCTACCGCTAGACAAAGATCTGAAGACATCCCATTAGGGGTCACGTCAGAATGACCTTTAATCCGACCAATGAGAGCGTCGCTTACCAGATCATGAAAGTGACAGACAGTGTGATTTCTAATTATACAACCTCGAAAACTTTAACATGGGGTATTCCGAACGATTGTTACAGGTTTAACGACTGAATCATTACAATCTAGACCATCTATTAGCCATTCCAGAATGTCCTTTTGTTTAGGTTTCAAATTTGTTATCGAGAATTTGTCAAAATATGTTTCGAAGCGTAGTCGCCAATTTGAAATTAGTGCCGTAAAGCACGAGAAAGTTGCCTTCTGATTGGTCATTCTATTGGTCGGTCAAAGTTAGCGCAAGGTCGGTGACCCGTAATGGAATGTCCTCAGATCTTTGTTTAGCGGTAGCGAGAACTAAGGTCTGATGAGATTGACCCGGACCTTCGGCGTCACGAGTGAAAGTTTTAACCACCTCTCCTCAAAGTATTTTAAGGGGTTTAGTGTAAAGGTAGTGTAAATGTGACCAACCCTGATAAGGGACCTTATCGATGAAAAATCGAACAAAAGTTATCATTGTTTATAATTCTACGAATACTTCCTCTATTACATCAGAAGTACTCCCTCCCACCTCCTCAATCATCTGTCTCCAGTAAACTTATGTTTGGAAAGACGTGAGGTTTCCTACCTTCAAGCACATAGTGATGTGAGCTGCTAGTGCTGAAGGGGAGATAACTAGCGTTGTACAGTTGACAGTGAAGAGGACTTCAGTTATAAATCTGAAAGTTTTAGTATGGTGTGACAAGGGACCTTGGCGATGAAAAATCTCATTTTAACGTCTTAATATATTTTAATACTACGGTATCTGAAGACTATAAAAATACAATTCATAAGCTTCAATCCGTATTTATTACTGAGATTCATGGCACCAAACAGTTAGACTCATTTACTGCAAAGTCCCATTTTCAGCCTTATAACTGTTTATGTTTAGAAACGGCAACCATTATATAATACCTGCTCAACTAAAAGTAGTTATGAATGCTAAAATGTTTTGAAATGGGTTTATTACATCACGAGAGAAAAATAGGATAGATTTCCGCGCATGTGGCAATTTTTACGAAAGTAAGTTAACGTCAAACGTCTTACTTGATGACGTCACAGCACAATTGTATCCTAGCACCCACAAGTTCCCTTTTCTACTGGCGAGTCACATATGTTGTTGGAACGCGAGTCAACAATATTCGGGCTATATCACAATTACCTGTAATTAAAACACATCTGTGACGTCATTCTATTGTTTGAACGCTCCATTATTTTTCGGGAATTGAGAGTTGCTTGTCAACTGTACATTATCTTAAAGCAGCATTTGAATTTTTCAAATATTTTCAACTACAGAATATTTTGTCAAAGTGTAAAAGTAGGGATGAGTTTTAAGTAGGGGAATATTCTCGTAACTCTCCATTCCTTAAAAATAATTGGCCTCGGCCCCTGCGGGGCCTCTGCTTCATTATTTTAAGGAATGGAGAGTTACTCGGACATTCCCCTCTACATAATCGAGTCTGAGCATGAACAACGATTCCTGCCATCGGAGTTCAATGACACAGTATTAACCAAGTCGATCCCCATCTATTCGACCCTTACTGGTGTACTGGTGTGAACTTTGACACGGAATCCCGTCTGAGTAAAGCTTATGTGACCTTCTAATGTTCATGTGATGTGATTTATTTTTTTCGGTTCATTTGCATAAAACTTTGTACATATCATTTCGTTTCCTTGATGGATATAACGTTTACTTTGTAATGGTTATATCCATAAATAAAAATATAATGTAAATAAACCTTTTGTAGAGTAATAAACAAGAAATGATTGCACGATATTGTTGACTTTATTAAATGAGGATGGTAAAACAAACGCGAACCGTATTCTAATTAAATGAATGTGTGAATATTGCTGTAAGTCGCATTCAGCAACGTTGTGTAAGTCGCATTCAGCAACGTCGTGTACGCCATTGACGTTTGTTGGCAATAATTACTACTATTGTAAGGAGCGGCACAAGGGGCGATATATAAATGATTTCGAATCGCTTGACAGCCCGGGCCAAGTCGGACCGAACGCAAGCCAAACACTTCTGATAGAGACTATGTTGAGAATGTTGGGGGAAAAGGGCTTCACTTTGAGAACCGTGTTTGCTTTAGCTACCGCGATCTGAGACACTATGAAGTGGTATATAGGTAGATATAATACTAGTCTATAGATGAAAACAAATTTTATGATACATTTGTATATTTTGACAGCCGGAGCCAAGTCGGACCGAACACGTATGAGACTGTTGAGAGTTTGGGGAGAAGAGGTCTACTTGAACCAACGTGCCTGCTTTAAATACGATGAACAGTGACATTATAAAGTGGTATTTACTTTGATACAGTACTATCCTGTAGATGTAAACGTTATACTGACAGATGGAAATTTGTATCTCGAGAGCTAGAAATATTTGATACGTATCAAATCCTATTTTGTTGAACGATTGCTCGTTTACATGTTACCTAGCTCAGCGACGCTTACACACATCTCGACTTTCTGATTTGCAAGCGATTTTACTCGCAATCACTTAATTATGGCGCACGTTTCTGGTTTGTGATTGTTCATAAATGTCATGTGTGTTTGTTGCATCAATAAAATGCAGGTATGGGCGTCGATAATGGCGTAATTAGCCAATAATAACATTGAGGCAATCCAATTTCATTGCCTTCTATGATTTTAAACCTAATCCCGTGTGTTTCAATATAATTTGTTAGTTATTCGTTGATATTGTAAGGGATTTACTAATTTTACAATTTAATTCTATACGTACCGATTTATGGGTTAACCATCGGGTTTCAAACTTGGGAAAAACACAACACGCACCTTGCAATAATCTTTATGGTCCTACATCTTCCCGAGCAAGGGAGTTAACTGACTATACAAGTCCAGTTTCCACCCTTGCCAAACTTAGCTTGAATTATGTAGTTATATTTTGGCTGGACTAACGAGTCTATGCAAAGACCAATCAAAATCGCGTAACGAAATCGACATCCGGTTTGTAAACTGCCGTGGAGATTTCGGTCGATTACAGGATTTGCAAAGCATGTGTACCGTCAACATGCCTTCAACAGAAATTTACCAAATCATTCATGTTTTTAATGAAGGTGCTCAGGTGATTTGATGCACTCCGCAAAGTAAGACCCGTTTTATTACAATATAGATCTCGATTATCGATCAGATCGTCTTCACTGGCGCCGCCATTTTGTTTGAAGCAAAGGCAAGTGATATGAGAGGTGGTAGCTGATTGGTCAACAGGAGGGACATAGAAAGGACATGACTCGTAATAGCCACTGCAGGCGCTACGATCGAGCCACGGAATTCCAGCGTATTTCTGCAAGGCTGGAAACTGGACTTTTACAGTCAGTTAACTCCCTTGCCTGGGGAAGACGTAGTCCTATTGATCTAAGCAAAACATTCAATACGTCATTATACATACGGCAACAATATACAGTTAGATAAATGTTTCTTTCAGCATTGGTTTATAACGAACATCTATTAAAAATCCTTATCTACAGGTTTAGTAAAAAATTTCCAGTTTTTTATATGCCAGATGTTATTATCCGCAGAAACAGATTCCATTTGAAGTGAAGCTATACATTATCACATATTTACATAAAGATTTCTTTTAACATAGAAACAACATGGACACCTACCGAAAAAACACTGTTATTATTTTGTTTCTGGTATATCTATTTCAATCTTTATTTCACGTACTGAAGAGGCCACAGGCCTTGGTACAATTTGAAGAATATACACTTTTATACAATTTATGTACATATCTCACCAAATCACCTCACGTCATTCCACCTCGCATCTCTACACAGTCACATAGTTTCACACATACAGTACAATACCATACCCTGTAATTTCATAGTTTCTATTTTACTATATCACAACTTGTTATATCATACAACATATTCTATAACATCATATCATATTGT